AACCAAACCTAATTGCTCCTCAAGGTCACAAAACAATAACCGGTACTGACGGCTAGGCTCGTCTTAATCACATAGGCTAAGTAGCGCGTTTCCACCCCCTGATTGAGGGAGTCGTCTGTTGTATTCATACGACTCCTACTTGACGAAAACGAGGCGCGATACCCGGATGACAGGTAGGCTTACAGAATTTGTGATAGGGTATGATACTCTTTTATGCGATCTGACACACACCTTGAAAACGGGTAGTATGGTCAGATATACCGGTTTATTCTGGACCCGTAGGTGCCGAGTCTGGTAGTTGGGAAGGCCTGATTATACATATTATCCTTGATTAAATATTATCATATCATGACACCAGGCGGTATTAAAACTAATAATATCCATTATTACACCAAATAATTGATTGCAATTTGGCATGATTTGAATTTATAAAATCAATGTTATATAAAATATTTTGCTCTCACAATGTCACCAAATACACAATTATTTCTTAAAAGTTGGTCAGCCAATCGACTTGGACTTAACTGAGAATATGTGATAACCTCCTTTTGATGGACCTTTCGGTCTAAATCCATAGTTTGGATGGATACTTCACATTTAAAATCTGTACAATGAAGCTTCCTCCAAAGGAATAAGTATCCAAGGAACTAGACTGATAATGATCACTGCTAAGTCTTATGGGGTCTTCTATCTTCTGTGGTCCTCCTTTTACCCAGTTTTTTAATAAAACCTTAATGTGGTTATTAGCCTTATTCTTTGTTACCTTATTTTTAAAGCACTAAAAGCATCTAGAGCAGAGTTTGCTCTTTTCCTTACCACTGCTGCTGCAGCTGAAAAAGATGAAGGAACATGGTGTCACACCTAACACACTGGACACTGACCAACAGCTAAAAAAATCCCTGCACTGAATGCCAGATATAAGTTGGACCAAATGGTTATTTTTATAATTCTACAACATAATTTTAACATTTCTTTTAAAACATACATACCACTATTAATGAAATTAATTAATCAATTTACTCAAAGTTATTGATTTTTTAAAACAATTACAAGACCTAGTATTTAAAAATGATATACTAAGGTAAACAGCACTTAACAAAAATATCATTTTAGAAACAAAAATGAATAAATAGTGATGGAAAGTAAAAATAAATCTGTACTGGAAGGGAAAAAGCTGTGGATATATTTGCAGTGATTTAACAAAGTTATTATTAGGTATTCAAGCATGCCAACTGATCGTTTTTCATCAACTGATATAAGCAACTGGTTATGAAATGGCAATATTTCTAGTGCTTAAAAGCAAATCATTAATTTTTTTGCTTTCATTTAAAACTAATGTATATCAAAAAGATACTGTTAAGTGTTAACATTTTTTCTCAATTCTGATCCAAAAATATCTGACATCTAAACTTCTGCAACAAACCACAACCTTTCGCACAGAGTAAAACATTCATTTAATCAAACTCCCACTTAAAAAGAACTTGCAAGCAACCCATATACCTATCACCAAATCGAAACTGAAAGAGTGTTATATAGTTAGTTACATACAGTAAAAGCAAAACTGTGTCAACAGAGAGACAACATAAAATCACTTACAGTTTTGGGGTGAGCACTAGTAACATCCACTAAACCTTGAAGATGAAATGATACTTTACTCTGTTTAAAGCTTTGTCAGTTCTGACACATGACAAGGCCAGTGTATAGAGCACATAATGCCAGCGCCCAGAGTCAGAGCAGTGACATGAAAAAGAAATCCTTACTAGGAGGGGGGTTATTTAATCAGAAAAATGAATCTGGGTAGAAGTTATTGAAGTAAGTGTTTTGTCTGCCTTACCTGTTGAGTTACTGCAAAGATATGGTTAATTAGTTTTGCATTGTGGTGAAAACTTTTTTCACCAACTTCACAGGCTCTACAACCATTCTCTTTAAGTTTAAATAAGTAGAAATCTAGAAATTTACCATGCATTCTTTGCAATATGGACATCCATGTCTAATCCTTATGCCTGTTTATTAATCTAAGATTTATTACACTAATGCTTCTTTTCTAGTTGAATGAGAAGGTTTACAAGATGATACTTTTGCAAGGATAATTAAATTATCAAGGTTTTTTATCTAAAAATCTTAGGTTATCATGGTGCATTTTTTTCCAATTGGCCTTGGTTCTAATATAAGGAGATAATGGTTGACAGCTAGGAAGGATAGGATTGGTGCTTTTAATTTGGATTTTTTCAGAAGACTTTAGGTTTACAGGGTCTCTTTATCATTAACTTTTATTTATTTGGAAATGGGGTAAACAGGGCACCTGGCTGTTCATATGCAGCAGACCAAGGGAAAAGCTATTAATATCTGTTAATGTTACTCACCCCAAACCTTTAATGCACACAGTGGTCATACACTATCTACCAACTCAAGTTCGCCTACCACTAGAATCTTGTGGTGTCAAGGGTGTCTCTACAACTTGCTTAAGTACACTCATCCATTCCTCCTTTTCTTGTTGACTCTCTGCATTCAAAATAAAAGGGCGGTCTGGAGTCTTCAGGGTAAAGCCAAAGGTTTGGTCTGGGCGACCTGGAGGAACACCATCCCGTACAGCAAATCCTTGTTCCTTGTTTCCTATAAAGACTTCACCTTTTGGAAAGGCATCCTGGAATATACCGAAGAGAACTGTGTATTTTAGCAATGAAAAATGTCATAAAATCCAGAATCTCTCTCTTTCTCTCTCGATCAAATAAGCATTATATACATATGCACTGACCAGTGGATTTTCAGAATACATAAGCCTCCTCTTGTCCAGTGTGAACCACCTCTTCCTGAATGCATCTTTGGCATTTGGTCCTTGCTTAAATAACCAGCCTTCTTTGACAAAGTCTCTGGTCAGCTGCTGAGACAACTGAGAAAATAAAAATGTGGTAATATATATCTTGCAAGGCACAAACTTGTATTTTTTTACAGAGCCTGGCTAGTAAACCCATCTGGTATACAGTGTTATTTTTGGACAAACAAAAATATCTATGTACTGCTGTCAGTATGGATGGAAGATATATCAATTTAATTTTTCTCTGACATTCATTTCAAATTAATATACTTCTGTAAAATAAAGATTGTGGAGTTTCTGCCAAAATGTGGAAAATATCATCAAGTTTTCAAACTGTTGAAAATACCAGATGGCAGAAAAAACTAAGTAATTTAGTAAGAAGGATAAATAGTGACCCACAATTTACCTCATCAATATGACTCAATGGAAACGCAATCCTGAGACGATTCAGTTTTGCTGCTCTAAGAGCATTATACCAGTCCACGATGTCCTGAAATGAGCAATGAAAATGACAGAAATATCTATATGTACAACAGTATGGCAGATGAGTGTTTGATAGGCCTACATATCGTGGCTAAATCCGGGATCAAGTTACCAGTCAAATCATTGTTAAGGAATAAAATATAATATAAAAAAATTCATAGCACAAATTGCCTGAAAACAAAATGATGCTATCTTGAGGACTAAAACCATGCACAATGTTGTATGTAAAAGAAAAAAAATAATATATATATATATATATATATATATATATATATATATAACCCAGATTATGCTCAGAGATGGTCATAGTTTGCATCAGATTATTTCACATTTACACTGCAAACAAAATGTCACATTCCGAAAAAAAAAATTCATGAGCTATGTTAATGCATTTAAAGTCACAATTTAGTTCCTTCAAATAACAGCTAAAAATCAGTGTTATTACCACTAATAACTCCTTGATGAATGTGTCTTGGTAGAGACTGAAGTACTGGAACAAATGTAGGACTTCAGCAGTGTTTTGAAGAAATTTTAATATAATTGTAGCTTTGAATATCATACCCACCCATCACAGTGACTCCACATACCTTGCCTTCTTCTGCATATAAAAACAGACTCCTGGTTGTGCCTTCCTTATCATATGTAACCTGCAACCCATTCAAGTTGCCAATCTTGTCTGGCACAAATATTGCATTGATCTCGTCAAGTCTGAGGGATGCTTTAGGCTCCTTGGCCTATGAAGTAAAAAAAAATGGCATTTAAACCTGTGTGGTGCAGTGAAAAATCCTTTTCTGCTTATAAAGTGAAATATGCCATAATAAAATTGTGGGCCACAGTGAAAAAATCATTCTTTGCCTCTAAAGAAAAAATATGCTACAGCAATTTGTGTATCGCAATGAAAAATTTTTTATGCTCAAGGCCTATTGTCCCTTGGGAATAGATAGATTATAAAAAAACTAGCTTTAAATCTACTAGGCATCAAAAACTTGTAAATAACACTTCAGTGACAAGTGTAATTTAATTGTAAGGAGACACTTCATTATTTCTCAGTTATATATAAAGCCCATCAATCATAACCATCATGTACTCCAGTTATAAAAATCAGGAATAGTGGACTAATCAAGTAAGTACAAAGTATATATATCTATCTATTTATTGCTTGTAAAGAAGTGTGACATAAGCATATAGACATACATAATTCTTATCTTGTGGAATACTCTCAAGTGCTTATATAAACTTCTATTATCACTATACAAATAATAATTGATTGTGTGTGCACTCTGCATTCATTTTAAAACTTATCAACAGAAAATACTTTGTTGGTCCTAATACAATCAAGAAGTACTTGTGATCTAGGAAGTCCATATGTTATGAGGTGTTTACTAGCCAGCAGCATGCACAATCAAGTAATCTATTCCAGATAAAATGAACTTTAATACAAAAACTAGAGAGATAAAATGTGCACGAAAATACAATATGACACAGATAATTTTCGTTGTTTAAAAAATTCAACATTTTTCGTTTCTAGACCCAATTCATTCATGCCAATAAATTCAGCTTCCAAAAAAAAAATAAATAAATAAAATAAAATTAAATAAATAAATAAATAAATAATAAATGGTACTTACATTTTCTTTGTTAAAATAGACCAGTTTGTTGTCATTCTCTGACAGCACAAATCTCCTCTTCATAAATTTGCTGTCATCTTTGCCTTGTTTCCACAGATAGCCCTCCTTATACCCACTAAGGTATGTCTGCTTTTCAGGATTTGTGAATTCCATGCGCTCATATTTGCCCCGGATCCACTGTTCACGTAGAACTCTGAAATTTTACCAATGTTACTGTTAACATTTATTTTTGATTCAAAGGACCCTAGTATTTATGTGAATCCAAACATACTTGTCCTTGTATTTTAAAAATTATATTCATGCTTCCATTCAAATTCTTGAAAAATAAATATAAAAATCATAAAGCAATCCAAGCCAGGATTTTGAAGACATTTTAAGCGCATGAATCAATTTTTGTTGAACTTATCTGAGGAAAATTAAAACTTTTAGAGCATATATTGATAGATAAATGGCTTTAATCGATATCGCAATGAAATAATCATATTCACTGCCCCTGCACAACGTCTGTAGTCAGCCAACTTAACACAGTTTAAGCATAACTCTGGTTCACTGGCAGCAAGCACTAGTTTTAACTAAGTCAAGATAATCTAAGCTATTGGCAGGAAAATCTGGGCTTTTCCAGACTCCTCACTAAGACAGCAACATGACAGAGTTGCTACAGTTATTAAAACTCATCTTTAATACCCATACATACTGTACATCTTTGGTATTTGGTCGTCTGTATGATGGTGGAACCATCTGTTCATACTTCTCTTTGGCTCTGAGGTTTCCCACTTCTTCCATTTTCTGAAAAAAAAATAAATATTGCAGCAGATGTTAATTAATTAATATTTCAAACATCATGAATGAATAATTGTCAACAGAAAAAATGTTTTCTTTGTGAAACTTAAAATAAATTGATCCTAAAACTTTGAGAAGTTAGTTGACTTAATAAGAATCAGGAAGAACAGTGATGTCTGAAAATAATCAAAGAAAAAATTTGGATTTGTAACTACATCTCATTTCAAATGGATAACACAACCAAACATTACTTTGAGCTAAAATATCACTGCACCCCCACCACCCACCCAAAAAATTAAAATAAAGAAATAAAAAGGAGAGAAACAAGACAAAATCCAGCAAATAAATTATGGCAAAAATTCAGTTTTAGATTTGCCTAACTTATTTGCCCATCAATTTTTTTCTTTCTGTACCCCTTCCCACATAACAAAATCCTGGATCAGTGAATAAATCCTGGCCTGAGAATAAATATCAATCTCTCCCTCTTGCCAATTTCCTAATAAAATAACTTTCAGTGATGCAAAAGCATCACACCCAAAACACAACAATCATTTTTTACATAACATACATCATTCTCCCCTGACACACCCAGCCAATAATTCACACTCAATATTGATCACAAACAGATACAAACCTTGATCTGTTCATCATCCCAGTTATCCAATGTCAGTGATCGAACTTTACTGATGTGAGAGCCCAAACTGCGGTGTACTCCAGCACAGGATGCACATAGAAACACGCCTATGTTATAGGATGCCCATTCAGGATCTAGAAATTAATCAGAGAGTTTATACTAGGCTGGAATAAGTTTTTTCATTGTCTCTTGTGAAAGGATGGTAATAAAGTGAATCCTTATAAAAAACACAGAAAAAGCCATGTTGTTTAAATATATAAGTCTCTTTAGAAATGGTTTATTATTATTTATTTTTTCTCCAATTATGAGTACTTATATATATATATATATATAATAGTACATCACTGGTTACAGGCAGAAAGCTATAGATACTAGTATATGACCCTGACTGTCCTTTTGAAAGAAATTAAAATTTTGACCAAAATTTGACTGAAATCATTAAATGTGAACTTGAGCCAAATTGAATCTGGTATTAAAAACAAAACTTGTGTTAAAGTATTTAACCTAATTAAAGCATGCAGCACATGTCAGTGCATTATAGTATTGTAAATTGTTCATTTAATAAATCAAACAAGTTGTAGGATTTCTTAACTGACATTTAAGAAAATAAATGAGTAGATGTACAGTGTAATGGTAACAACTAATTTCTTGGTTTTGACAACAGCACATAACTTTGCCAATATTAATCTCAGTGTTATATATGACTGGTACTGACATTTACATGAGTCATAAAGTAAGATATTATCTGCATATTAATTATAAACATCAAAACAACACTCCTACCCCTACATACATTCTTCTGGTCATGATACAGTCTTAATTATTGGACATAAGATTCTCAGTTGTTCAACAAGTGTCTTTCTTGAAATGCATGTGTGTGTGTGTGTGTGTGTGTGTGTGTACGCGCACACGCCAGTGTGTGTGTGTGTGTGAGAGAGAGAGGGGGAAAGAGAGAGAAAATGAGTGTGTTTGTGTGTGTTGGGACGATTTATTGATACTTAGATCTAAATGCATTTTAATGATCTAGATGGGACGGAGGTCATATTCCTAATGTATTACCAGTGAAAAAAAAAAAAAAAAAAAAAAAACAGTGCAGGCTACACGTAAAGCAAAACAGGACATAAAATTGAATCGGTGTCAAGTTCTTTAACCACCAACTCCATCAGTCCATGACTTCCATATTCAAAACGAAGCCTAAAAATATGTATTTAGTATTTTACAATATAATTCTTTCAAGAGGCCACATTCTACGAAACAGTGATTGTTGTTAACTGTTATTGTCTTGTCTTTTATTTGAAGAGTACTTACTTTCAAGTCCACAGTCGGCACACACTTCATTTCCTGGAACTTTTAAAAGTTTTGCTAGCGCCGCTTTCCTATCCGCCATCTTGGTCCTGTTGTTACCTGTGGTATCCACTTCCTCGTTATGCAGAGGTTATTTTTAGAACAGTATTTTTGTTGAAACGTGGTAAGGGATAGGCCCAATTTTAAGAAGTCGCAATGGATCCAGACGCCACGAAAAAGGATTATTACACAGCGATTACAAAATTAAAAGTGCCGGACGTTTTTGTGGGTGCGTGAGCCAGGTCTTATCTAAATTTGTCGTATTAAGAGTAGACTAAATATAGCTATGTTAGAAAAGCGGAAGTGGGAGGAAAGGGACGTGCAATTATAATCGAGTTCACATCATGTAAACACCTGTGAAAATTCATCTTACCTAGTGCCAGGGCTTTATGGAATAATCAAGGAGTGGATGTTAAAATAGTGAAGAAAGGTATAAATGAATCTAATCATTATCTTTTATATTACTAATATATCTGCATTATTAGTTCTTGTACAGTATAACAATAATAGCACAATTAACATTATTTCAAGAATAAATTATTTAAGATATAATTAAATTTATGAAACAAAACTCGAGTCCAAGATCAGAATTTGACAGGCTTGAAGGGCAATTAAATATTGCACCTGATTAACAGTCTACTGGTATATACCAGTATTTTGAGATTAATATTAATAATAATTACCGGTATTATGAGGAACAAGCAAAATTTCATATTGGATTTTTTATACCACTGAACATAAATATATTTTATTAATATGCCTTTTATATGAATTTATGGCAAATTAGTACAAATATGTCCAGTAGTGATCAATTATTTATAAAATAATCGATCACTCAATTCTGGACAGCTAGAAAAGTAGCAGAATGAACATATGTAGCTAGTATACCCTATAATGTGGCAGTAGGAGTAAAATTAATGTTGACGTTTTTACCTACATGTATTGACATTTTCTGAGAGTTTTAAATGTCTACTAGGCCTTTTCTTTTGTGTTTCAGAATCAGAAAATGGCATAATTATTCCAACTATCCATCATCCCTAGGACTTAAAATTATGTGTTGAAATTGGATGTCTGAGTTGCTGTTGCTACGATTTGAGTTCAGTGGATGAATTTGTGTACATGCCCAATACCTTTATGGTGTTCGACATACATATGGTATAACATTGGAGTAAAAATTAATCCTTTCACCATGGCAGTGTATATACTCAATAGCCTAATGGCATTTGACATACATTATGTAACATTGCAGATATTAAAATTTCATTGAAATTGGTCTCAGAAATAAATCATTTCACCATGGCAATGACTGCTCCTCATAGAAACAGTCTACAGAGATGTCGTGTGGCTCTTGAACAAGACCTCNTTTTAAATGTCTACTAGGCCTTTTCTTTTGTGTTTCAGAATCAGAAAATGGCATAATTATTCCAACTATCCATCATCCCTAGGACTTAAAATCATGTGTTGAAATTGGATGTCTGAGTTGCTGTTGCTACGATTTGAGTTCAGTGGATGAATTTGTGTACATGCCCAATACCTTTATGGTGTTCGACATACATATGGTATAACATTGGAGTAAAAATTAATCCTTTCACCATGGCAGTGTATATACTCAATAGCCTAATGGCATTTGACATACATTATGTAACATTGCAGATATTAAAATTTCATTGAAATTGGTCTCAGAAATAAATCATTTCACCATGGCAATGACTGCTCCCCATAGAAACAGTCTACAGAGATGTCGTGTGGCTCTTGAACAAGACCTCCAACCAGACAGTCTCTTCTCATATCTGATACAAGAGAGCGTGTTAGCAGTAGACACGGTGGATGAAATCAAGCTGGAAGGAACACGCTTGAAGAAAAGTCAGAAGTTATTGGACATTCTTCCCACTTTCGGTGACCATGCTTTCCATGTGTTCTGTTTGGCTCTGGGTGAGACGGGACAGGGGTTCTTGTCAGATTTGATTCAACAGGATGTCCTGGAGAGTTCTCAGGATGTAGCTTCTCCATACCAGGGTGCATATGGTTTCCCTCTCTCTTTCATCCATCTACTTATTCATCCTCTGTTCATCCATTGATTTATTTGGTTACGGCCTTTTTTTTTTTTCTTTCCGAAGCTGTAAATTCGTCAACTATTTTTTCCTGAAAGATGACATATTGATTAATGAACTATATAGCATTTTTTTCTTGAAAAAATGGGGTATTTTCTCCTTTATATATCTTTTTTTTTTATATCACAGATGTATACTGTTGTGAATTTCAATAAAAAACTCTTCAAAAGTAAGTTTTTCAGAACTAATAGTGTATGTTTTTATTTCAGGGAGAGAAAATCTAGTGAAGATTTTAGCAGAAGAACTGAAACATTATTACTTGGAAACCCTATCCCGTGTGTACCCCATTCCTTGGTGTGACTGGCTTGAGGTAGACCTACAGCATATTTTCACCAACCTGGTCATTGAAGAAACAAATAGGTAAGTATATATGTGTTTTGACACCTGTAAAATTGCTGACTCATGTTCACAGTTTTACATTACAAATGGACAGTAGATGTTACAAATATTTTTTAAAAAAATGAGAAACTTTTTTAATATATTGTATAATAAACTTGTTTAATATAAATATGGACTGCATATTAACTAGCCACCTTATAATTTGAATTATTGTCTCATTCAAATCCTATGGAATAGATTTTTTATTTGGGCCTAAGTTAAATTTAATGTGAACATTGCCTCAATGGAATCTTTGTATAACTGGCACAAAATGTTTGATCCCATAGTCATAGTGTCCAAGTTTTGCAAAGTTTACTTTCCTTTTTTTTTTTTTTTTTTATACAATTTAAAGCTGAAGGCAGTTTTTTGCTTGATGAAATGAAACTACAGGTGTTTGATGAATTTCCTTCTTTTGTCACCATTCTTTTTTGTGTGTGTGTGTGTTAAAATGTTTATCTAGATTAAAAAAAAAAAATCAGAGTACAGTTACTAATAAAAAATGAAATTATTATATCATATATTAAGATTCTCACATTTCAATTTTATCAGATATATTGACGTTGCCGAACTGTTTGAACCCTCAATCAAGGAGGGACCTGGAGGGGTTGGCTCTCTGCCAAGAAGTGTACTAATACAAGGGGATCCAGGAATAGGAAAAAGTACACTATCCAGAAAGCTTGTGTATGATTGGTCATTAGCTGATGGAAATCCACCAATCAAGAAATATGATCTTGTATTTTTAATTGAGGCTCGTCACTTGCAAGAGGGTATTAAGGAGGCAATTTTCAAGCAGTTGCTGCCTAAGGATTTTACCTATACTCCAGATCAGGTTTGGGAGGCTATTACAGGGATTCAGGAACGAGTGTTGTTTATCGTTGATGGCTATGATGAACTGAGATACGTAGAACAAACAAACCTATTTGATCTTTTCAGTGGGAAAATACTTAGTAAATCTCACAATATAGTAACATCCCGTCCTCATTCTATTACAGGTATCAAAAAGAACTTCAGAAAGCATGTTATCATTAAAGGATTTTCCAAAGCAGATTCCAAAAGCTACATTGAAAAATATTTCACCTATCAGGGCAAAAATTCAGAGGAGTACAAAGAGCTTATATCCAGCATTGAGAACAAGCCCGAGATGCAAAATCTGGCCACCAATCCATTCAATACTGTTCTTCTGTGTCTGATCTTTGAGGATAATCCACATGCAGTCGTTTCCAACAAAATCCAGGTCTACCAAGAGGTAGAATACAGTGTGTGTAAAAGATTGTGTACCAAATTCGACATACCAACCCGGGGGACCGATCTTCCAGAAGTGTGTCTGCGAGTTCTTGAGAACCTGTATTTCATGGCTTTTTATGGAAATCTTAATAATCAGTTAAGATTTAGTGAGGAAAACATACGTGAAAAATTGACCAAAGAAATAGATCTAACGCTACAGTCAGGTTTCCTTACAAAAGAGTTCAGTGTTTCACGGATTCGTTTCGAAGAATTCTACTTCTTTCCTCATAAAACATTGCAAGAATATTTCTCAGGAAAGTATATTGCTTGTCACCCGGAGGAAAGTTTGGAGGAAATCCATACATATTCATTGACACCTGTTGGTGTGACGGCATCCCATTTCGATGCTATGGTCTGGGGAATTAAGTGCGTTAATAATGCAGAAAACATGCTTAAAATCGCCAGGAAAGCAACAGAAATTTGCTACAGGTTTTGGGCTAAAATTTGTGGACATTTTGACTTTGTTGACATTGCTCTTTACCCTAGGCGAAACATCAACTACATCTTTAGCAACTTGTTTTATGTGCTGTTCCAGTTTGCTCCAGCATCTTGTTACCTGGCACCAGAAACCATAGCAGCAGAGATTGTCCCCTCTTTACCTAAGTGGGTAACGTTTCCATTGGGCTTTACTGACACATTTAAATGGCTCTTGATGAGCCCAGTGTGTCCAGTGACTCATCTGAAGCTGGACTGCAGATCATGGGAGTCCATTGCCCACTGCCAGTCCTTGGCAGCAGTTGAAGAAATGATGGACCATAATTCTTCAATGACCAACATCTTACTGCTGCTTAGATGGTCTGCCACATCCCACATGGAGCCTTCCAGGCTACAAGTTGTGGGGAATATATTTAAGCGTCTTGACAATGTCCCTCATGTTGCTGTGTCAGTTGACATCGAGGATGGTACCTCGGAGGATTCCCTTGGATGCCTGGTTTCATTACTGCATTCTCTTCAGCACTCTGTGTCCATAAAGACATTAATTGTCTGTGCCATAATGAAGGAAGGTGATGCTGAGACCAAAGCATGGGGAATCTTATCCCCCAAGGACAATAAATTGAGCCCTGGACCACAGATTACAGCACTTTTCTTTGAGAGAACAAACTATCATAGATGTATTGCCCTGAAAAATGAGCAACTAAGAGACTGTGGCCCTCTTCAAGAGGGTGTTGAAATACCACTGATTCCAGCAACCAAAAGTAATCAGTGGTTTGTAAGAGGGGATATTGTAAAATACATTGCAATGCAGTGGAAAACTTTATAAATGAATTGAAACATAGCTGTGATTAGTGGCAAATGTGCTTTATGTTAATATTATAAGCTGCAATAAATTAATTGTGCAGTTATATGGTGCTTTTAATACAACTAGCAGATTTTAGTGCTCAGGAAATTATTTCATATTGACCAAGAAAATTATCATTTAGATTTTTTTCAACTTGGATTTATTACAATAATTATTAATCCTGAAAGGTGACATGCATATATAGCACATATTTTGTTATTTTAGCAAATTAGCACCTTTGACAATTTGTATTATAAACCTCAGTTTTTGTCGATAAACCTGTTTTTGCCTATTCTATAATGAGGAATACATTTAAAGATTCAAAGAGTACACTATTATGGTGCTATAATATACACTACTTTATACAATGGGAATAAATATTGAGATTTTGTCTCGTACATTTACATATGTGAACAAAGATGACTTTAATCTTATGCAATATACCAGAAACACAGTAATATGTAATATAAGGGCAATAAAGGGTCATTTAAAACAACTTGCATGCCTTTTCTTTACTCTAACGAATACCATGATTTCATTTGTTTAGTCTCCTGTCAAAACTTAAACCAACCCCCTCTTGAATGTATAAACATTCCACAAATTACACTGAGAATTACAAAACACCCAATGGCAAAACATCTACTTGCTTTTAAATTTGTTTTATAGACAAGAGCACAACAGTCTTGTTTACTGAAGATGATTCTGGCGACTGACCAAGATGGTTATAATCTTCAATCAATTTTATGATGAATAATCAAAGAAACCATCTAACATTGTTTCCACTTCATCTTTTGTGTACTTCATGTACTTCTCAGGATTCTTAGTAAAGTTTGTATTCACATACTTCTTCCAAAACATTTCATATTTTGGTAGGATAAAGTCCTTGTTATCTTGCTTCAAGTTTTCTCTCAGTTCTGAATCTGGGATGGCATATGATTTCTGAATTTTACGCAATTCTTCCATTTCCTTGTTGAAACCCTGGAACAAAAAAACTTATATTCACAGAAACATATAAGGTATATTTCCATTGACTTACATCAAAAAATAGGATTCATTATGCATATATTTGAAATAATTTTTTTCCTTATTATTATATTTTATCACTGTACAAAACTTACCGCAAACTTGTCCTTGATATTCTGTTTATCTTTATCTTTCAGCTAGAAAAAAATTAATAAAATGACAAAAATATAATAACCTTGACTGCAAATGTTCAAAGCTCATTTGATGGCATGGTCAACATTGATGGACATGATCAATAAATGACACATTAATTTACTTCAGTTAGCAAACTTCGGTTTTATAAAAGATCCTTTTATTTCTCTATTAGTAATTTCTATTTAGTTATTTAGAGAAGAAACCAGCTCTAACCTTAGCTTGTGCCAGATCAGGAGACTGCACGTAGTGCTGGGATATTGGTTTGTGGACTTCCATTATATAGTGAAGGATACGACTGAAACTAAACAACAAAAACACAGAAGGTATTTTAATGAAAAGGTAACATAGTCTCAGTTTTCAACAGAATGAAACATTGTTATTTCTTTAAAGAATTCACCATTACAATACTCCTCAATCTTGAAACAAAAAATGACATTCAGAAAAAAATAAAAACCTTTCATATATTTTTGCACTTTGCATAAAACAATATGCGTCCCTATTCATGTAATCATTCATTACCACAGGTGTCCCACATACCTTTGAGAGTACAGCTTTTTTTGTTCTAGGATTTGTTCATTGTAGTACGTCTCCACTTCCTTGTTGTATGAATGCACCAGGGACAAGAGACCATTCCTGTAAGACATATCCAGCTTTACCAAAAATACACTCTGTATATTAAAGTAAGATAAACACAGTAACACTTTTTTGCCATTTTTGCCACTATTAATATTACAATTTTCACTTAGTCTCAGACAGCCATGTTAAGTATCATATCATGCAGTTGCAACTTTACCCCATAATAAAGATTTTCTTAAGATTATGTTTTGGCTTAGTTCTCCCCAGAATGAAACAAGTGCAATTTTGAATTATTCCTGAGGGTCATATAAAGACATCAATGAATTCAACCGTTTAGACCAACCGTTTCATTGTCTTGAGTAGATAGTTATAGTTATTCAACATGAAAACAGCTCTCAGGGTTACATCGCTGTAGGTCTCTGCCTTGTTGCTTAGGTTCAGACCCAATGCAGACAAAACTTTGGCTGAAAATAAAATTGAAAACACTCATGCAATATTTCCATGCTGTTTGTACACCCACATTTTATGTGCATTTATCTTATTTGCAATTAACCAACCAATTAAAGGCTATTCAAAATGTGTAAGCACTATAATTTTGTTTATTGATCAAGAATTCACAAATACTTGCTATTCCAACTCAACAAATCATTTTTGTGCCCTAATACAAAAGGCATATTTGCATATGTACATGCCACTTACTGGTGTATTCTGCAACTTTTGTGGCCTTCTTTTTAGGATCTTGAGCAAGAGTATGTCCAGCAGGATCTGAAACATAAAAACATTTGTAAATATAAAGACAAAACAAGTTATTGTATAAATTACCATATGATTTAACTTATTTATTTTTCCAACTTAGGAAGGATAAAAAGGATGACTCAATTTTCATGACTTTATGATTCTGAATATTCAAGTTAAAACTACACGTTTTATCCTCAACTATAAAACAAACATCCTGAACCATAAAGACATCCATGTTAACAGTCCCCTTATATAGATGGTATACCATTTAAATTAAGTGAAAAGTCTGAAAATTTCCAGAAAAAAATTTTTGGTTAACTGACCCTAATTATTATTGTACATATATGCATACCATGGATGAGAAGCATTGCCCCTGCAGCATCTGTGTACTCCATGAGTTGTTCCAGGAAATTAAGAGTCTGAAAGTAATATTAAACATTTTTTTCTATTCCTTATTTAATACAATCTGATATCTCTCAAAATATTGCTGATAAACTTTGTAGGCCTATTTGACTTTCATCCATTTTGCGTTTGTTATTCATAAAAATACATTCAATGCACAATGTAAAATGTATTAACTGACTCTAACTAACTACTATAACATAACAAATGAGTGATAAAAACATTGTGATGTACATACATGTTACACTAACTTACAATACTTGTCCGTTCATTCTGAAATCATTCTAAATATGTTACCAATTCATTTATTATATGACCCACATTGTTTGCAACTTTATTAAAAGAAGTTGTTGTTTTTTTTATGTAACTTACATTACTGGTCAGTTCATGGACTGTTCCATCTTTGGGCATGTTTGACGCTTTATCTGGATCATTCTGAAACATACAAACATATCAATTTAGCTTAAAAATACCATTCTTAATACTACAGGTTTACATTTAATGCCTTATTTTCAATTTCTGTGTGATGAATGTCCCTTGATTCTTCTGATCAATATTTTACAGATTGCCCCCCCTCCCCAAATAAATAAATAAATAAATAAATAAATAAATAAATAAATAAATAAAATACATCGAGGTTGGCCCCAGGTGTTTATCTACATTTACCTTAAATTTCAAAGCTGGTTAAAGCCTGATACTTATCATATATAACATATTTTATCTTAAAAAACAGAGGTTATTACTAAAACTCAAACCATTAGATGGTCACTGACTTACCCTTATTCTTTCAATGAACTCCTCTAATGCTTTTGCACCCTAAAAAAATAATAACAGAATATGTATCAACTGACAGTGTGTGCAGTCGTGTAGGATGGATTAAGTATGGAATTAAGGTCAAATAATTATGATGTGATGTAACATAAGTTGAAGCTTGAGATGTCCAAAGAAAAGATGCTCGATGTGTAGAATATCTTACTGTGGCATCCAGTGTTGTAATGAGAGAGGCCAGCTTGGATCTTGTAGGTGCTTGGCATCCCTGAAATCATTTACAAAGCATACTACAAACAGCTTGAAATAATCAATATAATTTACTGGCATGTATGAGACAGGAAATTCCCCTGCCATGGGTTAAAATGTTCAATTAACTCCATCAAATGAAAAGGAGTTAATAAAGAATTTTTAATGAAAATGTACTGGCACTTCAAACACAATCATCCTTTTTGTGTTGCCTGGCATAATTGCTTTCATAGTTTAAAATAAGTATACTTAAACTTTGCCAATGCAATATTGTTGGAAAACAAAGTGTTCCAAGAACTTTTTTTACATTTCTAGCCCCTTAGGACATCAGGCTCTAAGGGTGCACCACAAAGCAGAAATAGTGGTCAGTTAATGAAAAAAATTACAACATTTTACAACTTGTAGAATTTCAATTTTTCATCTTAGGCTAAGAATTCTGAAGCTTCATTCTTTTCCTACAAAGGGGTACAAAATCACAATTACAATTTCATTTTTTTCTCTATGGGTCTTGACTTATATATATGTATATCAGCATAATTTTTAATTTTAACAATTTCAATGGGCAAGATGAAAACAAGAACAAAGAGTTGGTTCACCTCTAAAGATACATCGTATTCTGGTTTAATGGACCTGAGATGCCTGACCACAGGGAACAGTTGGAGCACAGATGGATAGTCGTGGTGGGCAATGGCTCTACGCACTGAGGCTGCCAGTTGCTGAAACCAATACTTACATTTTCTTTATAATTTCTATATTAATGCTTATGCTGGTACTTATTGAGAGTTATCTACTAGCCATGGCATTACAAGATGATGCTTTTAAAATGAGAAAATAGTAGTTAGATTTGAGCAAGTCTAAATGAAATTAAGATGAAACTGTCAGCAGGGTTCCAAAAAAGCATGGCTCTAGTTTCATGCTAATTTTTTAAAATAAATGCTTGAATTGAATTGTGTCCTAATGTTATTGACAAATGTGTACATGTCTTTCACATTAAATACAGATATATTTACTAGGGAGTTATTTAATCTAGGACTTACCTCCCCTTCAGTAACAATAGACTCCAGAGCTGGCTGAATCAAAATGTCAAATGTTTTTCTCTGGTGCTTGTCAGGAATGATCAGCTGCATCAACTGGTTTTCACTCTGAAAAAAAGGAGGGAGTCAAAAGCCAATTTGAAAATAAAAGATGAATTGATAGCCACACACAGCATGTTTCAGAGTATGAACCAGCAAATGTGTAAATCAGTCTCATTCTTTATCTTTCAGACTTCAACTTTACAATACTATACATCTAGTTTCTTCCCTGTATCAACTTAAACAATGAGAATCACTTGTTCGAGCATGAAGCTTGACAGATGTTTTATTACTTATTGCTCCCAGTGCAATGCTGTAATGTGTGAACTAAGCTCTACCTGCATCAGTTTCAGCAGAGCTGTAATGATGGAAATGTAGGTCTCAATGTCCACATCCGTGGCCTCCTCTTTGATCTCAGGTGTGGCTGAACTCTGTCTTTTGTGTCCAGACACTGGAAAGTAATTGCTGTACACATGATCAACTACACCTAAATGTAACTACAGCAGTTCTACATTTAAATACCAGGCCTAATTCAGTTCATGATTAATCCATTATAGTGGTCCACCTGATTACAGTAAGTACTGGTCTGCAACAGTAGCAATGGCTTTCTTGTTATAGAGGGGTGCAACATTTCTACTGATTCATCTTGGATCTAAGTAGACTAAAATTCTGGTCTTAAAGCTCAAGTTCTTTAGTGAAACAAGACCTTGGGTTTATAAAAGTTAACACGATTTTTTAATCTTTCTGAACCAGTAACTGTCATCTCTACCCATGTTCCACTGTACTTTCCCAGCTTACTTCATTACAGTGAGTTCATAAAAAGAGTCATCACTAAAAACGCAACACTGGTTACTTGAGATCAAAGTCATATATGCTATTAACCCTAAAAGCATCCGCTCGCTTTGTTGCAAAGTCAAAACTTTCAAACCAAGCTGATACTGAGATTAACCTTGTTTATTTTCTGGTATGGTAATGACTGTGCCAGTCAAGCTGATATTCACATTCAGGGCCGTAGCCTGAGCAAAATGCCAGGGGGGGGCAGTAAGCAGACACGAGGGGGCAAAGCCCCCGAGGGGGGAGGGTGTGGGGGGGCCATGGCGTGAAAAATTTTTAAAAACTGTATGTATAATACTGCATTCTGGTGCATTTTAACTGTTATTTATTGCTCAATCACAAGTCAGAAATTGTGGGTTCATTTTGCCATAGGTACAGTCATTTTTTCAACACAACATGCCAATTGGACTTCATTTCGTAGATTGTCTAAAAACAGTACACCTTTGTAAACAGATTGTTGAATGATTGTCTAGTGGCCTGAGTGCATTTTCTCACAGAATTGATACCAACTTTGCAATTATTTTTATTCACCTTTGCGATTATTTTTTTGTACCTCAAATCCCAGGGGGTGCCGCTGCCCCCCCTGCCCCCCCGGAGGCTACGGCCCTGACATTTCAATACAGCATCCAGGCATTGAATGGTATACGTGTACCACTCAAGCTGACATTTGCCTTGATCTAGCTATTACATGAAGAATCTGAGTCACAAGTCATGCAAACCCATTTTGCCATATGATATTGCTTAAAGCAATAATAACTCTTCCTTTGAGATTCAAAATTCCGCAAGAAATACATTGTAAACAACGCATGGAAATATATTCTATTGTATTTTACCACTAAAACGGCCGTTATTGTAGTAAAACTAAAATCTGTGCTCGTCAATAGGGCTTTCGATGCCCTTCTTCCCGGTCGTCAAGGCATCCGTTGCTAATGACGTAAGGGTGTCACGCAGATTCTCGCGTTCATTCGAGATCAAAATAACATGGCACGACGCATTGATGCAGACGCAGACGTAAGTTGCGAGTTTTTGTACAGTGCGTCGGATAACGAAAAGCCCAGAATGGCACACATTGTGGATATAAATGCATTTTTAACAAAAAGACAAATATATCTCATGAATCTTATATTATTGTTATATAGTGTTGTTGTTGTCTGCTTTTCCCGCGGTTTTAAGTAGGTCACCAGTGACTATGCAATGTCAGAGAGGGCTCCGTCCGTACGTTTAGGAAAAAAACCCTGGATTAACTTTGAATGCAGGAATGGGGTCGTTGACCATTGGTAAGTACGGGAAAATTGCATTTTTTTCCAGGAAAATCCAATTTTAGGCCAAAATGAAGAGTTATTATGACTTTAGCCAAAGTAACATTATTTTGTATTCATCTGCTACAGATGTGGTACAGTTAAACATAACATACAAATACTGTATCATCTTCATATACATGAAATGTCACTCACCTGACTCCAGCGTCTGCTGAGAGTATTTCATCAGCGCTTGTGAAGCTTTTCGAGCCATCCTAAAATGAATGAGTTTAATGATTCAAATGTTCTTACAAAAATGGATAAAATCTGAACAAATATATTCCTTTCTTGTATCCTTTCTTGTGTATTTTTTCTTTGTTTGTTTTATTGCAGAACAATAATAAGGTGTTAATTTGTCAAACTTTTATGTATGTTCAAACTAATTCTGGTGTATCTATGAAGATTTTCTACAAAGATGAAATATGTAATCCAAGTTTTCCACCCCTTTTTTCATAATCCCTGAAGAAGGCCTAGGGGCTGAAAGCTTGGATTACATATTACATCTTTATAGTAGATCTTCATAGATGAACCAGTATTATAACCTATTTACTTATTTAATATACAGTGATTTGATATGAATCTTCAAACAAATTCAAATTGTTAAACATAACTTCATACAAGCATATGTTTTTAATTTAAAAAATTAAACACATAAATCTTAGACTGTTAATAATGATATCTACAAGAGTGTCCTCTTCACTGATGCTCGCTTTCCACTTGTGGGTATATCTCTGCTGTGTCCAGAGTGGCGGAATTTACTGCTCTGAAATTTGTAACAACTGAGATAAATAGAAATCAAATAATGATTTTTTCAAAAAACCATGTCTAAAATAAAGTGGTCTTTTCACCTTAGAGGGGTGTTACATTTTCAGTCAGTGTTAGTAAGTACTTTCCATTTAGAAGGAAATTTGATAAAATATACAATACAATACAGACAATCACTTTACATGTCTATACTGCATAAAAATTCAAAAGAAATAAAGGAAATATGTTATCATGATTTACAGAAATAAATCTTCAGCACTTTCCTTAATGTTTCCAATATTAAAACCTTAAAGATCCGCGCATACATTGGTGAAAAATTCAGATAATATGGCATGGGGTCCATGGGGGCCACCTAGGCTAATACAATTTTTGGTTAGCAAAATGTTGGAAATCCATCGAGAGTTGGAAAAATCTTATTAAATCTGAAGCTTGTAATTCTTCTATCTAGACCTCAGGAGTAAAGGTATACATACCAGTGCTGGGGAGAGCCCAGGGCCAAGAGTTGCTGTCCCTCCTCCACCTCCAGCCAATGCTTTCTGGTGTTCTCTCAGGCTGCAATTATCAATTATAATCTATTTCAAGATAAACAGACATTTGGCTTTAATAAAAGCTGATACATACTGACCAGGAAAAAGAAGAACACAATGCTGTCCTGTCTTGCAGCATTTTAAATGTTCTAGCAAACAGCAACTGAACAAGTATTGTTAAATACTAATAACACGCTTTCAAAAATTGCCAAAAACTGTAAACTGTAAAAACTGTATTTCTCATATTCTCTATTCCACTTACAGAATCAGGTTATCTCAAAGACTAAATTTCACCAGGTATGAGAAAGCACTGTGCATCCTTTCATTGACCCACTAGCATATGTCACTGGCAACAGCTGAACTTCAATATAATTTAACATTTAAATGTATTTCCTACTCAAATTTAATAGAGAAACCTGGTGACACATGGCAGCCTTTAAATGTGAACCTAATAACCTGGTTTTAGACGTACAGAGCAGTAGGTCATTATTTTTGCTTTTCTATGGCTATTACTCTGTAGATATTTGCAGGTTTTCATTACATTCACACACCCAAACTCACAATACAAAAATACCCGTGAACACATTATTTCACCATTTATGTCAAATCTCATTGGTTATTTATGCAAAATGCTATGCCCTAATTTTTGAGCCATTTACAATGATAAGATTGTCTTAAGTCAGTTGGGGGACATTTCCATGGTGTTAATAACTGTAATTTTTATTTGCCTTGTGATTTTACTGTCAATATGATACATGCTACATCTGTGACATTTACTGTCCATAAATATGTAATTTAACATTTCATTGCACTATGAAGATTATAACATGGGAGTATTTATAACATGGAGGAATAATGTATATACCACAGATTTTGTTGTGACAGAATTCTAAGTCTAAATAAAATAGTTTGCTGTACTATACTATACAATGGATCTCCTCAAAATGAAATTCTCCTTTAGATTTCTTTAAGTTGGCAAATATGGTTAATTAAATCTGTAATGACCTGTTTTAGAGACGAAAGGATTCCAAAACTAAAGTATTATAGCTTCAAGGATAAAACATAAAAAGCTTTTAGTTTAGATTGTCTTGATCTCTCTCTCTCTCTCTCTCTCACACACACACACACACACACACACACACACACACAGTCTTACCCTTGCAAAGCCTTGATCAGAGTATTACAGCGAACTGTAGCATAGACATTTGCAAAGTCAGCTGAGGAACTGTTGGCAGCCAACCATTTGGAAATCTCAGCCAGGTCATGAACTATGCTCTTCTCCAAATGCTCAATATGTGGGGATTCCTCTTCTGGGCTCTCTGCAGAGATAATCAGAAAACCTTTGACATATGTGGCAAAAAATGTAATTTTGTCTAAAGAGACCTAAATTGCTTCTCATCACCTAAATATGAAAGAAGAATGATTTAGATGGTATTGATATTATATTTTGTAAAGAAAAGAGACCTTTAGATCTGATTATTTGTTTACTTAAGAAATATATAACACAGAAATGGTTAAAATGATATCAAAGTTTACAGAATTAAATAGATATATAGATGAATATTTGCAACAAAAATGACAGAAAACAACATTTCAAAAGCAAACTAAAACTGGAATATATACTTTTAGAGCAGAGTAGGTACCAGTTCTATTATTGTGTGTGTGTGTGTGTGTGGGGGGGGGGGGGGTGATTAAAATTCAATGTTTATACTCTTTGGTCTCCTTAAATTTTTAAAACTTTTTACCATCTTTACGGAGAAAACAATGAAAATACATTACATCAAGATCTTAAATGAAATAACTTAACCCTAGGTAAACTGAGTACCAATTTTAATTGCCAATTAATCAAGAAGACATCTGGAGCACGTCATTATGTAAGAATGTTTAACATTATGATCTATTAAAAGGTTACAACCTAACAATTCATTATGTGCACCAAGGTGAAAACAGTAAAGTGCTCAAAATGGATCATGTTGTTTAACATGCTATTATCAATAGCATTATATCTGAAAACAGAAGTGTCTAGAATACTTATGCCAAATGTATATGTGAAGAGTTGCAAAATCTCTTTATAGTTCTACTTGAATTTTTTATTCAAAACTATTGACAATGTTGGTAGCTTTATGTCATTAAGCACATTTTAAAGAGTAAATCAAAAAGATAAATTATTGTGTTAATATGAAAATTAAAGTAAGACATAAGAATAAATAAGGTGTTTGGAAATTTTAAGTAACTACCATATGTTTTATCTAAATGCGTTCAAGGGAGTTTTCAACTGATACCTCTGGCTTGTCTAATATCTGACATAGCTATCTTGAAGTCTTGTCTTGTCAAGAATTTTTTAAAAAATTTTCTTGTATATCAACCTTATTGATAAGACTGATCCAACGGGAGTTCAAATGTGAGGAACACTAATCTTTATACCAAAGTTATAACACACCTTCATACTGAGCCAGGATATCAATAAGCTGAGCTGATGGAGTTGGTTTACTGTTTCTCAACAGAAGATCACGAAATTCTGTTTCCAGAGTCTGTCGTCCTTGGTCAAATAACATGGTCTGTAAAATAAAACAGTGCATTTATACATGTACTTACAAATAATATCATAAATAAACAGTAACACCTGATACCACCATGTTGGTTGTAGTAAACACCACACACCACTGGTAAAAGCTATAAGTAACTGATATTCATCACCGTATCTCAAAGAAAAGCTTTTCAAAGAATAACTACAAATGTAAAGGCATAAAACTTTAATTGATCTCAAGCTACTGAATACACAAGTACCTTAAGATGCAAGACTTATAAGAACAAAAGAGCATCAGGTCCCTTTATTGCAAAAAAATAATTCTCCTTGAATTCATGATCAACAATGAAGAAATAAAGTTTACCACTGCAGAGAGTTCAGAGCTTCCTGGATGTTGATCTGTGAAATAATCTACAGCTTTCTGTAACTTCTCCAAGCACAGCAAGTATTCATGAAGGTCACTGCTTGGACTGTACAAGGAAAAAAATACCATGAATAAATCATGATAAAATATTAGTAATCTCAATTTTCAGACAAAAGACAATCATTTCATAAGTAAATTTATATTTTTGTGCACAATTTTTGTGTTGTTGGACTGAAAAATAGAAATATTGTTCACACTACCCATGCTACATAACCAAACATGTTACATGGGGAATCAAAGGCAACTACAAAACAAAAGAACAAAAAAAAAAACAACTAATTATTATACAGACCTTTCTCTGATGATATTCTCCACTTCTTTCGCCACATGATAAAAACCAATAACATGATCAAGTTCAGCAATTGTTTTCTCAATATCTGGGCACCAATAAGGAATACCACACTTCAGAATATGAGGATATCACAACTGGACTACCAATACACATTTTGACAAGATTTAAAAATCATATCCAGGGGGACACAATTCCTGCATTAGCTTCTACTAGTACCTTGACTATACGCAAGCTCCAGGCAAAAACCGACGAGAACATTTTATATTTTGAAAATCCTTCTGGCTCCCTTCAATCCTTCAATACATTTCTAAATCAGTTATTATATAATGACAACAGAAACAAATGTTTAAAATAATAATAAAAGATCATTTAAAAGCTCCTTTTACACATAAATCACAGTGTCCACATCGGTACTATTGAGAACTTGGTTAGGAAAGCAGATATCTACCTGGCCAAAATTTCATCAAAGCAATCCCAAACCAGGCCATGGGGTGAATATATACTTCGTTTACCAAAAAGGATACTTTGATGTCTTTGCTGCAGGTTCTCTGTCTCATGATACACAGGTACAATGGTTTCTTCCAGCTTCTTCAGTCTGTTCTCAAATGTGGTCAGTATTCCAACCATATTACCAGTCAGCTGTTGGCTCTTCTGGAGGGAATCCTGTAGCACCGCCAGGTTACTCATTTCCTATAAAAATAATTTAGAAGCTTGTAATATAAAATAAAAAGAAGAAAAAGGTCCAATTTATAAATATTCTACATAAATGGTATGCGTTTATGTCACTTCGGACTCACACTGCCCAGACTGACTAGCAGGCAGTGAGATGAGTCATGCCAAAAGGCAAAACACTTAAACAGGTACATCTGCCTCTGACTGTGCAGTGAAGGCTGTAGCGGAGCCTAAGGAAGCAAGAGATTTTTACACCGTTTTTTTTCATGAACTTACTCGCTGCAACTTCATGTCGATTTCCAGTTGCTTTACCGCCAAATCATTCATCTTGTTGATTTATTATTTCACTATCCACAAGCAAAATAAAATTAACAATTAGGAGCAATTAAACTGATGAGAAGCACATTTTTCTGTTCTTGTTGATCCTCCCTTTCATTTCTAACTAACGTGAAGAGGTACTTGCGATCGACTACAGCAAAACGATCTCAAAATTAACTTTTTTTGTGATCTCATTAAAACTTTTTGCGCTTTAATGACAAAAAAATGTGCTCCATGATATTGTGCTTATTTTTCGTGATGAAATATAACATTATGTGCTGTAAAATATGTCGCTCTACCAACAGTACCCAGAGTCAGTAGGTCACGTGACTGGATAACCAAAGCGAACAAGTAATAGAAAGCAAGAGAGGAGATCGGTGTATTTGGATATTCAACTTATTAGCGACCTGTGCTGCCACAGGGTAACTTTACAACATGGGGCGAAGATCCATCAACACCACCAAGAGTGGGAAATATATGAATCCCACAGATCAGGCCCGTGAGTACAAAATCATAGACTAAACATATCGCTCTGCTCAGGCACAGTTACATTCACATTCACCATGTAGAATTTCCAAAATCATTTACAGACGGTTTTCGCTTCTGTTTGAATTTACAGAAATGAGTGGCGTAAAATAACTGTGTATCTGTTGTCTTATTAAATGCAGGTTACATAGAAAAGTGCATCAAATAATACATTGCGATTTCGTTTGAGATACTTAGCTAAAAAAATGTGATATTGATTAAGTTGACAAATAAAACCTCATTTCTTAAGTAAACTTTAGAGGTATCATATGCATAAGCAGACCAGAAAAATGATATATGTAGTAGTTTTAACTTTGAATAATGCTAACATGTCTATAAACCTCTGCTGACTGCTCATTTTATTTTTGAAAAATAATAATAGATTTGAACTTTGTGCAAATATCAATTTAGTATATATTTCGATGGATGTAATTCCATACATGTTTTTTATAGGCAAGGAAGCAAGGAAAAAAGAACTTAAAAAGGTTAGTAATCAGCCAAGTTTAATGCATGTCATACAAATTATTGGCATATTTGGTATATTTGTCATTTAATGTCAGTTGTAATTTTAAAAGTTCTGATACAAAAAAGATTAAACCTGTGCTGTTATGATTATGATTATATTTTTTTTACTTGTGAAATTTCTTGTTGAATGTTGAACAGATTTATAAATGCATGTAGAATTAACATTTGACTAAGCATCATAATCTACCCTTAAACTAACATATTAGTATTTTACACTTTAAACAATTTTTGTATTTAAGATAAATTGTAACTACCATTTCTTTTAAATATTTTGTAGAACAAAAAGCAGCGTATGATGGTGAGGCAAGCTGTGCTGAAAGGAAAAGATCCTACAAAAATTTTAGAAGACATGGAAATCATAGACAAAATGGGTATATATCAGCATGGTTATTATTGGGTAGAACTCCAGAGATCACATTGCCGACGTCAAACAGAGTGACCAATGTTCTGTGTAATGTCTGAAAGCTGGCTTACATATTTAGTCATTAGCATCTACTGTAATACTAAGAAGTATCAGCATGATCAATGTGCCATGTATCTGGTTAAAGAATACAGTGCTTAAGAGGTCAGTGTCATAATTTGGTTTTAAAACACCAATACACGTAATACATTTTTGTTGAAAGAAGTGCTCTGTTATAAAATATGCAGACTTTTTACTTGAATCTAAAAAAAAGATTGATTTACAGTGCTTGGCTTTTTAAAACTAATGAAACATGCCTCATTTCAGAATATGACCCAACACAGCCTCCAAGACTAAATGAAAAAGTTTTAAAGGATAAAAGAAAAAAGTTGTATGAAACTTTTGAGAGGGTGCTGAAATTATATGTAAGTACAGTTATTTCACCTCCCAATATTATTAGTTATAAAAAAATCTGGTAAAATGATGAACAATTTTTGTACCACCAGCGTTAGCGCTGGCGGTACACATGGTTTCGGTCCCGTCCGGATCGTTCCGCCGGCTCCGTTGGCTCCGCCGGCTCCGCCGGACGGCTACCGTTACCGCTTCTCCTCCTAGACGGTAAGGGCCCCCGTACCCATCTCATGGATTTAGGTCACCTATAATCTCAACTCGTTCCACGTAAAATTTGGGCTTTGTCGGTATTGGGGTCTGGGTGTGGCACTCATTACAATGCACCCTTGTCTAAATATGGCAAAATTAAATGCTAATTATCTACCCTACGGAAGGAGTTATGGGAAAAATTTCTATAGACGGCTTTCCAAAAGTCATATGTGTAGATTTCAAATTTACCCTTGGATTTGACCTTTGACCTTTACTTCAAGGTCAAATGGGCCAAAATTTTCAAAAAAATGAAATTTTTTACGAAAAAAATTTTTTTTGCCCTGTTATTCAGACACCACACAGACTTAACCAATAATATTATTGGAAGGTGTTACCCTTCAGGTCATCTTTCATCTCCATGAATTTGGGGTCAATCGGTGCATTTTCACGGGAGTAGCGGCCATAAGATACCGAAACTGAAAACTGTCTCTAATTCGGGAACCGTTAATGCTAGAGACCCATTCTTTTTTGCATTTTGTAGAGCATGTAAAGCCCAACACTGGAGGTGGTCTCGGTTTTTTTGTATTCCATACGGTTTTCGAGTTACGCTGTATCAAAAAGTACATATTGGTGGTAAAAGCAAAATGTGCAGTACGGTAATGGATAATAAATTTTGAACTCTGGAAAAATAAAACATAAGGCTTGGCAAAGCAGACAACTTGTGTTCAAAAATGACATTATTTCATCAAATTTGAACTTCTGAAACTTCAGAGCACCTCCTATTTCAAGAATTTTGACCAAAATGACATTTTCTTTATTTTAATTAATTTTTTCTGTACGAAATTTAAGGCACATTATGGTAACTCCAAAATTATAACATTTAGTCCCTTATATCTCCAAAACTGGCAGAGATAGGTCCATAGTTACTATTGAAGTTGAATAGGAAGTCATATACTGGCAATCTTACTGTGACCTTGAAATTGACCTTTGACCTACTTTTTATCATGAACTGAACTCTGCTAATTTCTTTCTCTTTTAACTTCAAACTTGACAGAGATAGGTCCATAGTTACTCTTGAACTTGAATAGGAAGTCATATACTGGCAATTTACTGTGACCTTGAAATTGACCCTTGACCTACCTTACGAAGAACTTAAATTTGATTGTACCATATATATTTTTTGCAATAGTTAAAAAATTCTTGTTGATTGCATTTTTACAGCTTGTCAAGCACAAAACTGGTGGCTGTGTCCCTTATTTTGTGTATGTGGGGGTCTATACGAATGCGTTTGCTCCAGCTGGTGGTACAATATTTGGAGGCGGTATCGCCTCTCTGATCCTCTAGTTTTTATATTTTACTTATCCTAGATTCATTGGTTAAGCTTTTCTTTAATTACTTAATGGATTTTTGTATGATAAATTGATTTTTTATTTAACATTTTCTTTATTTTAAGGAAAAAGAAGAACCTGAGTATGCTCTTGGTCTGAAAAAGACATTACAAGAATATGAGAAGAAACGTTTACAAATGCAAATTTACTATGGTAAGTATTTCATATGTTTAAAACAGAATTATATTGTACACATTTGCCATCTATCAGCATTTTTTGTTAAGTATTTTAATTTAGTAGGCCTAATTCACTTAGACGACTACAGATTTAGAAAATTATTAATTAAGGAAAAATGTTAATCAATTTATGCCTTTAGATCTCATTTTGGATTATAAAGTGAGGAGCTCTGTTAAATGACTGATTTCATTTCTCTTTCCAGAACAAGTAAAGAATGCAGAACGTGTGCAACTTGACCAAATTCCTCTTCCAGCAGCACCTATGGACACTCCTGGTGAGTACTGGGCATTCTCTGGCTGGTCACTTTTTCTAGACAAGAAAAACAATAAAATATTTTACTAGTTTTCTCCCCACAAAGGATTAGCAGTTATTCCTTTGTCACAAATACATTTCCATTGATTCCATATGCAGTCCTTGCTACTTACATAGCTTAATTTTTAAAGATAATGGACATTTCACTAACTGACTTAAACCTGATAGCAGAAAACTGTTTGTTTGAAACCTTGAAAAATATGCTATGTTGTTTGTAATGAAACCTTGGTTCTGTCAGTTGGCGCAAAAACTTTTTGGCCTACAAAACCTTTGTGTCACCCTGGTCTAATTATCTACTTGTACAAAGCAGAAAAATGTTAGCAGCTTCATTTTTCACAAAGTTTTACTGCACCAGTCCCAATTCTGCATGGATTTGGTTTGAGGACAGTGGTAACATCACAAACTGTGTTCATGAAAATATTTATGATGATTCTAGTGGCCTCAGAGATACCACTACCCAGTGACATCCCTGTACCTCCTGCTGGGGGTAAAACAGTTCCCCAGGGGATTCTGAAAAAAGGAACAGCATATGGGTAAGGAGGGTATACTATTTAATGTAAATTTTTAGTGCTTATTTATAATTACACAATTAAAAAAATATTGATGCACTGAAAGTTAAGTAATCTTTAAACGAGTCAATCAGTCAGTCAGTTTTGTAGCTGATATGTGCACCCAAAGTGAAGTAATTTATAGAAGCTTTTAGCCATTGTGTGTGGCCATTTTCTCACATTTTCCCAATTTCAGTCTTGGAAAGTCCCTGGAGCCAGGAAGGAAAAGAAATCCCCCAGGGCCCCCTCCTGGTCCTCCTCCCCCTCTGAGTGACAGTGAAGATGAATCTACAGACCCATACAAAAGTAGAGGACAAGGTAATGAGGTCTTCAGTGGCTACTTTCTTGTTATTAGTAATAAAACAGTGAACAACCACTGGGACAGTGATTATTATTATTATTATTATTGTGTGACAGTTATTTACATTTGTGTTGTTCCAGAAAGAAAAAAATGTAAATGTTTAAAATAAACCAGTGAATTAATTTAGCATGTGTTCAGTTCCAGAACCTATGGATACTAGTGAACCATTGAGGCCGCCAGGGGTGGATGATGTAGAAGAACCTCCACACCCAGTGGTGCCACCTCCAGGTATTTAAGCACACAACACACACTAGAGTATATGGTGACGGATGGCCACCAATTGAAACAAAAAAAAAAAAAACTTTGATAGTTGCATATTATTAGTTGCATATTGTTAGTGATTTTTTGTTCCACTTGGTATCTGTCCGTAATGCAACCATTATCAAATTGAACCTATTCGTATTTCAGATATGTATGTCTCCAAATAGAATTTATTGTATTGTATATAAAGATGCTCACAGTCACTACAGTGCTACTTTAACACATGAACATTATGTTTTCAGCCAAACAGAGAAAAATACGTTTTATGGATGATGCCACAAGGGATCCTAATGAAGAAGAAAAAGACTCTCGTACCATGTATAAAGTTGCCGTGTCCCCTCTACAGGCAAAGATGTTACAGTTAGCTGGACAGGAGGTCCCTAAAGTCCGAGTAGAGGAGGAGGTGGTCAAGAAGCCCAGTGTCATGGACATGGTATATATATATATATATATAAATGTTTTTGTATTTCGCTCTGTCTTACTTTTGATCAGTCCTATCTAAGTTCGTAAAGAATTTTTACTTTTGAATTTATTTCTGAACTTGCAATGAGGACAGTGACTTTTTAGACACAGATTTGGGTCCCTCCCAGAAGGACTGTCACTTAGTCCCTTGTGATTGATGTTTTACCAACACAATAAATTATGTGGATGGTGTGAAACTGTCATCCATTTATACAGCATTATGGTCGCTTAAGTCTTAAATAAAAATAGTAAAAACTGTATTCTTACTGAAATAGCCTGCCTGGGGACATCCATGTACATAAACAAAGTTTACAAGGGTAAGGTGCAGTGTGAGTGATTATTTAAAAAACCCTCTAACAACTGCCATGGACTGTTTCAGCACAATACTGAAGAGGAAGAAGTTATTGTAGAACATTCAGAACGTCAAGAGCCAAGCACTTCTTCTGAGGAGATGGTAAAAATCCCGCCAGGTCCACCACCAGGGGTGCCACCTGCAGCTGCACAGGGGGCAGCTTCAGCAGCTGCGCCATCTGGTGGACCACCTGGAGCTCCACCTGGACCTCCTCCAGGTCTTCCACCAGGTAACTTAATGAAGTGTCTCAAGTCATGTCACTTAGTAGACCTAAACAATTTTTTTGCTGCAACTCATCATGTTCATTTTTTATAAAAGAAAATAAATAAAAATAGGAAGAAATATGTTAAAAAAAAGAAAAAAAGCTTATTCACCAGATATATCTGTCAATTGATATGTGAAATGAAGTTGTGTTGTGTTTCCTCATAAAGTGATCCATATTTTTAATATTAAATTGATAATGTATTAGTTTCAAAAAATCATGACAAAGTCTGCATCAACAGACAACTTAGATACAGCTTAACTCAATCACTGATGTTTTATAGGTCCACCCCCAGGGATGCCACCTATGATGTTCAGGCCACCCCCACTTAGAGGACCCCCAGGTGGACCCCCAAGGTTACTACCCCCTGGGCCCCCTCCAGGCAGACCCCCAGGGTTACCTCCAGGTCCCCCACCTGGTATGCCTTCAAACATCAGGGCACCACCCCCAAGACTGCCGCCTGGACCACCAGGTAAGATTTTTTTTTTTTTTCAAATTGATGTTGAACATCAGCTTTATGTTTCTGGAATTACATCACACAATCTTTTAAATAAATAGTTTTAACTAATAACTTTAAAAACAAATCATACTGATAGCAACAAACAGTAGCTAAATGGAATTATGTTGATTTAAAGTAAACATTTTTGAGAGCTCTTATGTGGATTTTTGTTTTGTTCAGGTATGCCCCCACCCAGGTTAATGCGTCCACCTGGAGTTCCTCCAGGCATACCACCCCCAGGATTACCACCCCAGGGGCTGGGTCCAGGCCCTGTAAACCCCAATGTTCTCAGTGCCCCACCCAGTATTCAGAAACCCCCACAGAAAGTCAGAGAAGAGGAACAGAAGAGCACTGCTACCATAGAGGCTAAGCCACAGATTAAACACATGATTGGAGATGTTACACGGTTTACCCCAACAGCTCTGAAGATTAGGAGAGAGATGAAGGATTCCAAGGGAAAGATAAGGATGATTGGTAAGAAGATTGTAATAAACAGATGACTCTTATTTAGTTGTTTTCTCTATCATAGTTTCGTTTGTAATAGAAAAACTGTCTAAACAAAAGCCATTAGCACAGCATGAAACATTTTTGTTTTTAAAAAAACTATTCTTTCATTTTGTTTGTTCCAAAAGATTTATTTGATAATATGTGCATTGAATCATATTTTGGAATGTCAATAATTTTGCCATTGCTACAATAAGCTTTTCAATTAGGCTTTCATTGCTTAAAAACAATAAATGTTAGGAAAAAGGTGAATGTCACCATTGCCTGAACACAATATCACTCATAAATTATTTTTTTATCTGTAGGTAAAGGTACAGAGGAGAGGTTGACAGGGCCTGCACCAAAACCGGCAGCTCCACAGCCTGCAGCTCAAACAAAAGATGATGCTTATGACAGTTTCATGAAAGAAATGGAAAATTTATTATGAAACAGGTTTCTTTGTTGAATCATTGGTAAGTATATACGTTTGACTCCAGATTTCTGTATTCAAAGATACATTATTAAAAATCTGAAATTGAAAATTAATTTGAATATACTTTTTGAATGTAGCAATCTTATAATATTGCAACTGTTAATCCTTGGGATTCTATATAAAATGGTTCACCTGCACCCATGATATTCAAAACATTTTTTCTGAAATTTCACATTTAAAAATATTAAAAGTTGATGATTTTGAAATAATAAATCAAAACAGATGGTCACATTTTGAAATGTTTCATTTATCTTTCTCAGGCTCTCCGAGGAGCAGTTTTATGGACAAAGAACTTTAGTCTCTGTGGTTCAGGGCTATGCTATACTGAATGACTGTGACATTCAAGTTCAAGTTACAAGTTGTTGTATAATGCTGTGATCTGTTTACCAAAGGATCAATATAAGGAGTTGTGCTGTCTGTGGACAAGTTAGGGTTCAGTGAATAATGCTATTTACTAGGGCTGAACTATATTTGCAAATTACAATGTTCATTTAAACAGATATGATACTAAAAACCAAAAGTCATCTGGAGATACATTCAGAAATGAGCATTAAATATCCAGTTTCTTTTTCATGGCAACCTGTATTATGCAGCTTTTAAATAAAAGACAAGTCAAAGTATAGAAAAGAAAGTATAACAAAGACTTGTTATAAAGCGGTTCATAGATACTTCACATTATTACACTGTACTGAAAGTTGAGATGTAAATAAACATTTGTTTTTACAAAATACTTCATTCTCTCTCTCTCTCAATCTCTTCAATACCCATTGGAGGCTTTCCAATTACCTAATAAAAACAGCACAAATAGCAACTGAAAAAGTTATACTTGCCTGGGATTTTCACTTGCTAAAGCACAGAACCACACTTTAGGTTAAGCCCTTTCACACATTAATTTATCAGGTTTTCAACGATTGTTTTAATATGTCAATCATTCAAATGAAATGCGAATTTTCATCCGAGCACTTTCACCCGCACTCTCATAATACTACCTCGCTTTAGGAGAAACGGCAGGACATAAAATGACGATCGAGTTAGCAAAACTAACATAATGCTTCTCAATTTATTCATTTTGATGTCCTTTTCCAAAATTACCCGTAAAGTTATTTAAGATATTCATTGATTCCAATGTCAAAAAAAGGAGGAACGTCAGTACAAGTGATCCAGCCAGCAGAAACGAAAGAGATATTGGTCACGTGCGCTGCAGAAGTTGAGCATGTCTAAAAATAGGAATGCAATTCAACCCATATTTCTAATAGCGGAGCGCTGTTTGGACGTGATATGGATTTGAAACTAAACAGTAAAGACATTTAGACAATATAGCGTTAAAATTGCAATGTTTTATTTTATATACGAGAGCAACATTGAAAGAAATCTTGCATGATGGACCTATACAATTCCTTATTTTAGTACAATCAAGAAGGCAGAAGAGGCAGGCAAAATCGAGTGGAACGAAAACAACTGTTAAATCATTCCTATAAGGTATATATCTTCGTCACCGTAACACATTCCATATCTGGCTAAGTTCTCCCATACAGTTGGCTTTTACTTTTGAGTCATTGTGAAAGGAACGGGTCACGCTGATCTGACATCATTGCACTTCCATCAACAGACTGGGTAATGGGTTCAGCTGTCAATCCTAATGCTACCTTTTCTAACAACGTAATCTCATATTCCTGAGCCATTGAAGACATTTGATAAATACTGCGTGACGTGAACTAAAGATGAGGCTGTTTGAGAATATTGTAGAGCCATCCGAACGCCTAAAAGCATTGTTTGAATATGCGGAAGGCAGCTGTCAAGTGAACCATGAAACACCTGCCAGAAGGTATTTTAGATCCGGTGGCGAACTGATACGAATGGCGAATGTATACTATGATGAGAAAAACAATGAGGCAGCATATCTTTTGTACACAAGAGCCATCATGTAAGTCACTCTCTGTCACTCTCAATCTCTCTGGCAAACACACTTGCCAATTAACACACAGACGCATGCACATACACACACACACACACACACACACACAGTAATTATCTATAGTATATGCTTGTACGTCATTTGTACATTTTTATAGGGCTGCATATGTATATATTGTAAAACAGCCAGCCTGCATAAGACACTGTTTCTTAATTTAATAATTATGTACTATACGTTTAACCTGCTGTGTTCCTCTGTCTAGTCTGTTTCTGGACAAACTGCGCCAACATCCAGAGTACAAGAGTGTGCCTGGTAAAGAGAAGAGCCAAATTAATCAGGTAAAGTATCAGTATTTTGGTCTTGTGAAATAGAATAGCAACTGTATTTCTCTGTTTGTCAGATTTACCTCTAATTATAAAGATATCATGATGACAATTTTGCACCAAATCAAATTTCTTCAAGCCAAAGAGCAGTTTTTTCTTTATCATGCATCATAGCTTGACCTAATCCTGCGTGTATGTACGTTATATTCCTGGATTTAATGTTTTACACCATTTTCAATTACTAGTAAATGAATTAGTTCTGTATGTTTGGCTTTATAGATTATACGTACAGAAAAGATGACTTTGAGACATTTTCATACACAGATATATATACCTTTGAGATTATGGTTAAACATATTGGATAATCCTCCTGAATTTATTTATGCTTGTAAAATTTTTAATAAATTTAAATATGTATTTCAATAGTTAATATTTTTTTCATCCATTCCACAGAAAATAAGAGACATAGTTCTCCCGAGAGCAGAGGAATTAAAAGCTAAGTTAAAAAAAGAATTTGCTGTTATTGCAGAGAGGAAAAAGGAAGAGCAGGTAAGCTTTTGAGCAGATAAATATGAGGGAAATTAAAGTTGAAATCACTTAAATTACATAGTTTGTATCTTAAGTGTAATATATATGGCAAAAACATTCTTTTTTGTGTTGGATTGCTTAATTTTTGAGAAATCCAGGATACTTAGAATGTAGCTCCTAGTAGAAAAGACTATAAACTATGCAAATGACTTGATTCTTACTAGTACTAGATGTTGTTTAGGATCAAGTTTCCTATGCTCACTCTTGAAAAGCCCACAGTAATTCATTTTATTTTCATTCTATTTTAATCTACAGAAAAAACAAGAAGAATTACTGGCCAAAGAGCTGGAGAAACAGAAATTAATAGAAGAACAAAAGAAACGAGAAGAAGAGGCTCACAGGAAAAGGGTAGAGGAATATAAAGAATTAGAAGAAAAGAAAAAGTTGGAACTTTTAAAAAAAGAAGAAAGGGAAAGACAAATTCAAGAAGAAAGACTACGTCTTTACGAAGAAGAAAAGAAAATCTTAAACACAAGGGGTGCTTACCTAGACAATGGCCAAATATCAAATAATGCACAACAGGTTGTTGGAGCAGCTGGTTCTATAGATCTTCCACCTCCATATGAACCTTCTGCCCCACCACTACCACAGGAGGACATCAGACCGACAGCGTAAGATTTTAGAGAGTTGCATCCATTTTAGTGTCTGTACATATATTCATCACCTGCTTCTATCCACTTTGCTAGAGAGATAGCCTGAGTCGTAAGCATTTCTAGAAGCCATTAGAACCAGAAACCAAGGTTGCTATTTGCTTCAAAACTGTAATTACGCACTGGTCTAAAATGCAGGTCAAACTTGAAAGCAGACATGATTGTTCCTTAAATATTTTGGGTAGTATTTTTAAATGGTATTTCAATATATACAATTGTTTAATGAAAGAATGTATTTAATAGCTGTGTGTTTTTCCACATTTTTTGCACATTTGGTTAATCTGTGTAGAACTTCACGATCAGGCACTTGTATCTGTTCCCTGTACTCACCCTATGTAAAAATTGTTTATTTATTTGTGTATTAGTCCATGCAGCTTGCATACTCAATTTCAAGGAAAATGGAAATTTTGGTTTATAGAATCAAATGCATTTTGAAAATGTTGAAATCTTGAAAGTAAGATCTTACTAATCATTTTATGATCAAAATATACTGTTTTAGGGCATCTCTACCTCACATTATTTTGTCTTTGTTTGAGCCATAAAAATATTTTATCTTCAGACCTATTGTTGACCGCTCCAGCAAACCAAGAGTCAATCACCATACAAGTATAGGTGGAACTAGTCATAATGCTCATGGGTTGAAGGATGTCATCTGCCCTGCTGACCTGATGCCTAAGTTTCTACACCTGGCCACAGCCAACACTGCCAGGAATGTAGAGACTTGTGGGATCCTGGCAGGGAAATTGGTGAGAGCACATTAACAACTTCACCAAAGAAAGAGATTGAGTTTTCCATGATGAGGGTTTTCTTGTATTGTCTGTTGGTTGGTGGACAAGTAATGTCAAAAAGTTCTTGGTTAATTTTGACCTTCAGCTAGAGATCAAAAATTGGATATTCTTCAGTAGTAGATAACCAAAATAGGGAAACAGCTGATAAAAAAATAAAAGTAATTTCTTTCTTGTGATAAAACAGATATGATGTTAGTGTTATATTTGTTGGATGACAACCAATTAATTCAGGTAAGTGTAGACTTGTTTTGTCTGAATGTTAAGGTCTAAAGTCTTTTGTGAAATGGGTCCCAGTTGTGAGAACAGCCATAGTGTCTAACAAAGAAAAACTAGTACATGAATTGCAATATTGACCATAATTGTGAAAACATGAACAAACTTATAAATATCAATTTTGTATTCAGAGGCAAGGTGCGTTCACCATCACAAACCTGCTGGTACCCAAGCAGTCTGGTACTTCTGACTCCTGCAGTGCCGAAGATGAGGAGGCCATCTTTGATTACCAGGATAAGCATGACTTGATTACTCTGGGATGGATACATGTAAGTTTCTTGTGACCGTAAGGCCACACTTTTTTAATTTTATGGATGACATCCTGCGCGCGCACGGATTTTCGCCCGTTCTCAAAAAAAAAAAAAAAAAAAAAC